ATATATATATATATATATATATATATATATATATATATATAGTACATATAGTACATATATATTTTTTTAAGCAATTCGACTAACTGAGTTAGAAAATGACAAAATTTTTCAAAAGTTATCTTATGAGGACAAATGCAATAGCTACATTTCTGTGAAATCTAGTAAAAATAATCAAAGGAAAGAAGAAGAAATTAGCGTGATTATTCTAATTAAATGAATATTGAAATAAATAAATTTACGTTGCAACTATTGACGAACTTCAGCGACACTTTCACGAACACCTAGACAATGCTTTAACATAAAAATTTTTGGAATCGTGGATAAAATCACACACTCCTGCTGCAAAGATAGAATAGTTAAAAATAAAATCATCAATAACAAAATGTTCAATATCAATGTATCGCATTATTCTCTTTGATTATTAATAACAAAAATAACAATAAGGATAAAAATATGATAAAGTACATTTTCATATGATCATCACTAGAGCTAGATTTTCTTTGTTTAATTTTTTAATTTTTTTTTTTTTCATTAGGTACACATATAATTTGTAGATGTGTTATTTTTAAACATGAAAACTATGCATATCAATTATAATAAATTTATAAAATGCACATCATGATGCTGTTCGTTTTACGACTGCCTTTATTTCCCAATTACTTCTGATTGAATAATCTGCAAATTAGAAAAAAAATTATTAATTAATAGATCCAGTTATAATAAGAGTTAATTCTTAAGAATTTAATGTATAAAATAAATTATCTGAATTATGCTAGAAACAGTTCTTATTTTTTCATTGTCTTTCATTGAATAATACGCACATTAAAACGCTAATTATTTGTAAATAGTATTTCCTATTTTAAAAATGAATTACTAAAAAATTTATTTACTTATAATATAAATCTCTATTATAAACATTTAGTTAAATACAAGCACTTTGAATAGATAATAGCATTATCTGTAAGTCTATCTACCCGTATTAAAAACTAATTAATTAAAAAAAAAATTAAAAAAATACGATCAGTGAAACTACAAATTGTTCAAAAATTTAGAAATAATAGTAAAATCATAATACCATTATTTTTAATTGATTCCGTTTTTCATACACAAAAAAAAAGAGTATGTAATTTCCAAGTTAATTAAAAAAACAAAAATAAATTTTCAAGAAGTTAAATAGCTATTTTTCGGATTTTTAAAGTACGGAAAGAAAGCAAATAAATGTAAAAATTCATGAATTTAATTTAAAAATTTGAAACAACTTACAATGAAACAAAAATTAACAACATAGTTTTGCAAAAACAAAAAGAAATAAGTATTCCATGCTGTTATCAGTTTCTTTGCTTTAAAAAATTACATCTGTTTTCTGAATAATTTTTTGAATAGCACGTTGATATAATATTAACAACTTATTTTAAAGAATATTTGCGTTGACTTAAAAACTAAAATCCCACAACGAATAAATATCAATGTTTTGTGATTTGAAATAGACATTTTTTCTAATATTTTCTGTCTTTTTAACTGTAAATTTTGAATAGAATTTAAATAAGAAATGCTGTTTAATTTTATATATGATCTTCAATTATACCTTGATTTTTGAAAAAATTTGTTAGGAGCTATTAATTTTTATCGTTCATTGCATACTTACACTATTGCTTAGTATCTTCCTAGATAATAACTCTACTTTTTCTATATTATAAAATTGCTCTTAGAATAATTGAAATAATCTAGTATTATAGTATATAGTATGTACTATTTATTGTATAGTGATACATGAAAAGTGGCCCTCCACCGACCCCCCACTTTAAAAATGGTTCTGTCTTTTTGGAAAACTTTTTTTTTTTAATTCATGATGAATTATTTATTGCAAAATTTCGCAATATTCAGCATGTACTTATTTTTTTACAAAAATCGTACAAATATATGACATGCTTATTAGAAAAAAAAAAACGTGATAATTATTAAGTATGTTATTAATTTTTGTTAATCACTTTAATAGGTATTCACCAAAGTATTCGAAGAATTAAAAAAATATAGCTGCATTAAAAAAAAATTTTTTTACTCTGTTGGAAAAAGCATTAATTTTCTTTGTTCTATGATTTTAATCATATGCATTCTCATTGCTTGAGAATTTTGAGAGTACTGATATAAACAAGGATCATCTCCTAACGCAATCGTAGTTGCAAAAGCAGCAGCATATACTCCACAAGAGTAAGTGTCAGATTGATGGGTAACTTCTATAAAAGTTATATTATTTGGTTTTACCTGTGGAAAACGTTTTCTTATGTAATCATAGTCTTCGGTTGATAGTGGTAAAGACAAGCTATCATACACGAAAAGATTCGTTCCGTCGAATCGTATGCAACGCCAATGCCTGTTTTGATTACCTCCTATTATCTGTAAGTCACGTTTAGTTTTAGATGGTACAATAAGATGGGGATATGAATAATAAAGCACGGGATGCGTGTAATTATCAGAGTTTTGATCCAAGATCTGTAGAAAATATTCAATACTTTCGTCATTCAAAAGGCTATCGGATGAACTAATATTTGATATTACATTACTAAGAGATATATTAACTCTCAGATTATCAATTATTTCAATCGCTTTTAATATTTCTTCATCCGTAAATATTTTATCTGAATTTGGTATTGTAATCCAAGAATTAATAGCAACTTTTCTTTTACAATCATCATTTGATCTTTGGATAGTTACTTTATCCGTAATAACTTTACTGCAATCCGCAGTTTTCATTTGTTTCTTTGGCAAATTGTATAGATGATTATCAATGGAATTCTCATTCTTTCTTTTTTTTCTTAATAGATTCGATAAATCTATTTTAATACTTTCATTACTTATAATCGTAATTTTTTTGGTTGATATTTCCTTATCAGTATTTTTCTTCTTTTTTCTTTTTTCATTTTCTTTATCTTCTTTTTCCTTTTTTAAATTTGCCGCTTTTTTTTGGGCCTCCAAAATAAATGTTGGCTCCCGAATGGGCATATTTCGTGTAAATCGACTGTCTATAATTTCTGGTAACACACATTCAGTGTAAAATTGAGTGAGATAATTTTCCATGCTTGTTTTCCAAAAATCATCGTCTTTTTCAACTAAATTATATTTTACGCCATAAGGAATCCAAATAGTAAAATAACAGTATTTTTTGTTTGTTATATGTAGTTGTCCTTGTACTTGATAATAGTAATGGTGATTTTTATTAAGACTAGTTTTGTTCTTATTAAAAATCGTTTTTATATTTTTATTATCAATCTTCAGAGCTTCGTCTGGTGACAAGTGTCTAATGCTAGCTAGGCATTTAATTTCTACAATATAATCATCGTCTATAATACCATCAGAAGTTGCACCCAGATATTCGATGTGTTGATCAATAAATAAGCCACAAGGTTTTATACGATCATGATTTATACCTAATTTAACAGCTAAGTCCTTTAATGCTTGTTTTTCATTATCTTTTCCATAATTTACACTATCTACATTACCTAATGAACGTGAATAAAGAATTTGTTTAACAATTCCCGCGCATGAAGTTTGCGGTTTTTTACGGCAAATTAGTCCAAAATGGGATGCTGTAATCATATCTCTCCGATATTTATGCCAATTTCCACATTCAGCTTGCTCAATAGTTTCTTTCATAATAGCATCCCTATTTTTTTGACGTTTTTTTAATTTTTCAAAATGTGCATCAACTGCTTGTTGATATTCTGTAGCTGATTTATCATCATCTTATACATTACCGTAGTTTGCATCAGCAACGAAGTATCGTCGAGACGTTCTTCCGCGGTTATTGCGGCTTTTTGAAGTACGAAGAACTTGCGCTTGTTTACTAGATTCCATTTTAGTTATTGTAGAAGGTACTTGGAGCCCTTGATATTGATACAATCATGATAGCACTTGTTGTGTATCATTTTGCGTCACTGCTAAACTCACTCGTAGGTTAAATGAATTACGCATACTGTAATTTACACGTCTTCCTCCAAGAGTCTTATTTGCAATTGAATTTAAACCTTCTACTTTATTTGTTGTCAAATTATCTATTAGACTATCTGCGTGTTTTGATAATCTCGTAACAATTTGCATAATAACTGGATAAATTCCAACCTTTTCTAGTATTGGAATTAAATTTGGGAATATTTTATCACACTGTTCTTTTTTATCAGTTGTACATTTAGTGTGATCACCAAAAAAGTGTTTTGGCATATCGAGAATAGCGTCACGAATTTTTTTAATTTGATCACTACGATCTACGTTTTTTTTGCTGCCATCAAGTATATCATCAACGAACTTTTTCATCTTTAATCCACTCGCTTTAACATATTCTCTTAATTTAACAATACCTTTTACTGTATTAGGTGGAATTTTCATTTTCGAAGCATTATCGATGTGGTGACAAAAATTTCTAAACAGGTGGTTCTTGCACTCTTTTTTGGAAACCATGATATCGTAGTCTTTGTATGGATTATTATCTAAAATTGTTTTGTGAACATTGCTATCGCCGTCACCAACAAAACAAGCATAAATTAATCCATGCATTTCTACACTGCAATTAAAACCTTCAACGATAATGCTGGCCTCCATTGCTGTTGACGGTTCATTACGACCGTAATTTTTGTAGCATTTATGAAAACGCGGTTCTTTTCCAAGTTTACTTGCACGAGCATAAATGGAACAATATTTATTTCTTACTGCACTAAAGAGCACTCTTCCGGTTCGTAAACCGATGATAACAGCGAATCCAGATAGTGCATCATATCTACCTCCTTTATATGCTCTTTTTGACCACGCTCCGTCTACTATAACTGTTATAAAAGGAATCATTTCACCATTTTCATCAATGATGTAGTCACCATTTTGTAACGCTAATTCTCTTTCCATTTCAGCAGCTTCTAACATCGCTTCTTCTGATGTTGCATTTATTATATCTTCCATTTTATCACGATTTTTTCTGTATGTTTCATCTGCCATACATGGTATATTCATAGAAGCGAATTGTTCTCGCAGAGATGAGTAACCTGTTCCAGTAATTAAAGTACCCAGTACTGCACTTTCATTTAAATTCATTTGATGAGTTGAATTTTTAGGATTAGTCCAAATTGTTGATGTTTTAGAACACTTTTGGCATTGCCAAACCATCAACGTTAATAAACCGTGATCACTAGCTTTAATAATTCTCATATCCCTAAAAAGTCCTTTACAAGATCCTTCATGACCGTAATCAAATGCCTCATGAAGTTGATCTGACATCCAAGTAATGTCAACTATACGTCGACCATCAATTTTGACTTCTTTGATGGACTTTTTTTCCGTTTCTGATGGCGAAACGTTATGATTCACATCACTCTTTTTATTTTCAGTTACAGAAGCTTGATGAATATTTTTTATTTCAGAAGACTTATCAGGTATGGAGTTTTTATCATTTTCAGACACATTACGAGAATTCAAGCTATTAGCAGTCAGGATGCGTATATTTTTAACAATACTATCAGATTCTGTACTTTTTGAACTGACCTGATCATGATTCAGTAATGAATCTTTACTTACATTACTTTCGGTAATTTTATCAGGATTTTTGCAATGAATTCTGCTAGGTTTATACGAAGATTGAACTTGCGGAAAATTCGTTGAATTTTTATCGCAACAGTCAGATTCCAAATTATAATTAATTTTTACATCAAAATTATTGGTTTGATCATTTTCATTATTAGTTCCGTCATTGCTTATTAATGTATTATCTATGTTTTTGAGTGTTTCAGTTGAATTTAAGAAGCTAATTTTACGAGATTGAAAAGTATTGACATTTTTAAATGAATGATCTGTTAAATTAAAAGTCTTTTTTACACTATTTTTACAGTATTTACTATACGTTTTTACTGGTGGAAATTTGTTATTTTCATTTATAAAAGGCTTGAATTCATTGACATCATCTGAACTTTTATTTGAATATTTACAGCTTTTCTGCAAACTTAGTAAGTTCTTATCATTCAACTTTTTACTTTTTGTAACTACTTGTAATGATGTTTTATTAGGCATGCATTTTAAATTAATGTAATTGTCGAGACAATTATTTTGTCCTTCATGCGGAATTTTAACAGCAACGCTATTAATACTTGTTTTATCAAGATTATCTTTTGTAAGTACAAAAGTTTTATTTGGATCTTCAGATCCAAAAGTAATTTCTGTTTTTGTATTTTTATTTTTAAATTGAGCTGTATCACTCGAAAAAAGCATAAATTTATTAAAATTTACATTACTGTTACCATAAATTGAATTATTTAATTTATGGAATTTTTGCTTTTTTTTGATCCAGCATTTCAGCTGTGTCTTTGTGAATACTTACTATACTATTATTTTTATCATCCTCCTCGCTCCTTGTTATTGAATGACTCTCTTCATCCTCATCTGCATCATGAAATTGTTCCTGCTTTCGAAGTTTGCGTCTAATAATTAAGAAAGGATAATAATTAATTAATTGATTATGTCTCTATACTGATAATATTTTTCAGCTCTGAACGCACCTATTAAATAATAAGATTAATAATAATTTCGAACTTTTTCATATCAAAATTAATTTGTATAAAATTAGTATCTGTGTTTTCAGTATCACCAATAAGTCTAAAAATCGCTTTACTTCAATAAGTTATATACTATTCTTGATCAACAAAACTTTTTTAGTATTGGCATCAATATCAGAGATACATACTCACCTATGAATCCAACTCCACTTTTTGGAAACTCTCCGGTAATTTTTGCTTTTGTTTCCCATCAGTTTATGATTATTTCGATAGTCGTTTCAATTTGTATTGTAACTGCATATATCAACAATGTATTGGATTTTGAATTAGCTGCTTCTACCTGCTAAATTAATTGAATAAATAAATAAATAAATCAGTTGATGATTAAAAACCTTATAAAAATACATATACTTTATTTATAAAAAATTTTTTTTATAAAGTTACCCAAATGTACATACTGCTGTTAAACCAAAATAATTTTAATTAATTACAAATATAATTTTGAAATCAATATTTTATCTTTATTAAATGTACCGTTTTTTTCAATTGTAAATGTAAACATGAAATTACTTTTGTTTATAACAATCTGGTACGTAAATTATAATTAAATAATTTAATTAAAATTTTTTAATTTTATTTGAAAGTGTAGGTTTTTAAAACAGAGAAAAAATAAATTTTTATTATTACTGTCATACTGAACAAATATTGAATAAAATTACTTAAGAAAAAAAAACAATTAGTAACGATATTAATAATTTGTGAGAAAAATTCTAACAGCTTATATTGAGAAAATGGTAAGAACTCAAATTACGATTTTAAAATTACACTCAAACTTTTTTTTTTAATTTTTTTTTTGAAGAAACAAATGCGAATTCAAATTGTTTAATATCAATTTGCATCTTACTATATTCAATAACTGCTAAATTCACTGTATACTTCTGAAATTATAACAGAGGAATGTTTCAAAATTTTATAAATATAAAAATGAAGAGATCAGAAATTAGTAATCTCGAATGCTTTAGTATTTTTTTGGTAAGAAACTTCATTTCATTCATTATCTTTTCAAGCAATCACAGTACCAAAAAAAATTGAATATATTTAATTAATATTATCATTAAAAAATAAAATAATATGCATACCTTATTAACAGTTCTTCAGAAATTACGAAATTTGATCCATACACGCATCGAAGTTTCAATATTTGTTACAATGAAAGTACTGATATCTTATTCATATACGTGTTAAACGTATGGACCGTTTGGTTATTTACTAAACGCTTAGATAAAACACTCGGTGTCGTTTTAAGTCGTTTGAATCCCGAACCATGAAACTGCCAACTTCGGCTCAGTACTTGATAGCCTGGTGTTATATATTTACGATATAAGTCAATTAAGAATGTAAGCATTGGTCCGGTGGCACGGGGCATGAGTGTATGCCCGAGCTAATACTTCACATGCGCAAGCACGGGTGTAGACATATAGATATAGTTATAGATATAGTGTTTGTATAAACTTGTACCTCAATTCATCAAACTAATCCTCACTTATCAAGAGCTAAGTAACCTACGTCATAAAAAAGGAAATGCTATCGATTCACAAAAATAGTTATTAGTATACTAAAAAAAAAGAAGTGAGAATTCGTTCGATGAGACACGGGGCCTCACTCCTAAAAAAAACTGGCGCGCGCTTGTGTGCGTATTTTTCGTGTATATGTACTTACGTTTGTTTGAATTAATTTGTAATGTGGAATAGAGAATGTTAATGCGACCAAAAAGAAATATTTTTTTCAAATCAAAATAAATGCAATTGTTTACAATCTTTCAGTACCAATAGTCGTGCAATTTAAAATTAACATCTAAACCATGTATTAAAATATTATAAAAAAAAAAAAAAAAACAAATAACTATTTATTTATGAAAATAAATATATTCATTTTCATTCCATCTGACACTCTCTCTCTCTCTCCATTATGATCTATTTCAAAGGGTTCATTTTTTGCTGAACTAAAATATAAGTTGAACGCAACAAAGTCACACTCGTACACATTTATGTATGTGTATGCTACACGGTGAGAAATTTCTGTAGAAATTTACTATGCATACATAATAAGACTAAACCTTAATGACTCAATTCAAAATATTACCATAAAAATTTAAGAATATCATATTGTACCAATCAATATTTACTAGGGACCATAGTAAATTTGACCATGTAACTGTTACATAAACATATATAAAAAATTTTGGTAAACTGACTGAACAAAAACTGTGAGTGTGCTTAAAACTTTTCATTATAGTTCCATAGTAAAATGTCTGTTGTTCAGTCG